GGGGAAGGGGAGAGAAGAGGGGAGAGAACGAGATGGGCGAGTTACTTATAGTATTTCTGATAAAATTCACTGGGTTTTGTACATTTTAACAATAAAAGTCTACTGGAAGTCTGACAAAGTAAAAGATACAAATCCTAATAATCGTTTTTGGGAAGAAGCTACTGTTATGGTATTTAAAAGCAAGTACCTGTAGCAGTTCCTCCCCTGCCCCCTCCCCTACCATCCCACCTTTTGGCCTGTTCCATCTTTCTGTTCTCTTTTTCTTCCATTCTTAATACACAAGCGCTCGAGTGATCAAACGATACGATCAGCTGAATGATATTCTCGGTACTACTGTATTGGCATGCATGAATTTTCGATCCTTTTTTAACTATGAACGGATGGTCATTCTCCAATTGTTTTAGTGTTGATGTTTTAGTTTATTTTCAAAAAATTCTGCGCCGCGCGAATAGTGCTTCTCACTGGGAAACAGCGCGCGAAAACAGGACTGTAAATATGAGCTTTCACTTCCAACTGAGCGTGAGATGAGGAAGAAAAACAATTTAGATGCTAGACTTTTCGGGCAGAGAAAAAGATATCCGGATGATGTTGCTGACCGTGGCTACACTTATTTATAAAATCGTAGCCTAAAACTATATGTTGTAATATACTCCACTATGCCAGCGGGCATGGCGCAATGAGAATTACATTATCGCAAACTAGGTTGAAAATCCAAATCCGCTGGTGGGACGACCTTTTACTACTCCTTCATTCGTTTTGATGGCTTCTTGACTCCGATGAGAAGCCTTACTCACTACCTCAAGAAAAACACACAAGCAGTATAATAAATAAATACGTGCAAATATTAGTAATGATTACGAAAATTACGAATTCAACAAGGCTTCCTGAGAAAAGTAAAACACTTTTTCCCTTCCTCCTTTCCCCTCTGTAGTGTTTCTCCTCAGCGATTCCTTTTTTTGAGTTACAAGTAGCAAATGCGTAACAGCAAATTCCAATTATTGTATTTGTTTCAAATTTTACTCATATTTTTATCATCCTCTGCTCCTTTTACACGACTTTTTGGAGCAGTTTACATGGAGTATCTATTATTCCAAAAATTCCGTTTCCTGCGTTTATTCAGTATTCAATTCTTTTTCACTGAATTTCAGTGAAAAAGAATTGAATACTGAACAAACGAAAAAAAAATAATTCTTCAGCAAACCGCTAATTTTGAGACAAAATGAAAGGCGGCTTAAACTAAAAATTTCTGTCTTCACGAAAATGCACCAAAGAATTTAGATTTTAATATGCGATAAACAGTTGTCTATGGTGTTTATTCATGCTATCCCACAGTGTTATTATCTTGATCATGTTTGTCGCATTTTTGTTGAGAAAATTTTAGCTATTCCTCAGATTTCAAGACGACAAATTATCAGATGAGAAAATCACAATTTATGGATATTCTCGTATCAGCATCCTTTTGAGAACATTTCCCGACGGCATTTTCCTTTTCATATCTTCGACCGCCATCAAAAATTTGTAGCTGTAAACCTCAACTGTCTTCTAATACGTAAAAAGAACTTTTGATCTTGATTTTCAAGCACCACTAAATCATCACCTATGTGCGGTAAACTGTTCAACCAGAGAATCTAAAGATGGCATGTATCAAACTGCAAATCAAAGCGTGGAGAATTAGTTGATAACCCGTAGAATGATAGCTGTCTGGTCGGAGGAAGCAAAGTAGCGAATTTTCTGCTCTTCGAAACAATGCGACCAAAAATTCACAGTTTTTCTTCTTTGGGCTCTTTTTCACAAACAACCTCGCTGTAAGCACCCTTTTTACAAACGAGTTCTCAACCTGAGTAGCTGCACAATCACCAACTGTCACAGATCAGTTATTGTCCCCTCCTCAGATGGCTGCAGAAAAAATACCCTTAGATTTCTGCACACTGAGTACAACAGCACCAAATTTGTATGGAAACGAATCAAGAAGTCCGGCACAAACTCTAATTTCTTATGTGTTATTTCCAGAAAGGAATACATTTTATGCGAATAGAAACTGGTCCCGCAAATTGTTGAGCGCCCCCAAGTTACTAGGCTTTCGTTGGATGAATAAATTTTAGAATACTTACAATATCTTTTATCGTTCTTTTGAAAGCCACATAACGCAAGTACATGCGCGAATGGCTTCTTACGTCGAAATATCACGTGCAATGGTCATTAGTGCAACTAGTAGAGTTTTTGGAGCACCTATTTCCCCCAAAGATGCCTCACTATCTCACCGAAGTCAGAAAGTTACTTTCTGGGTCTCAGCAAAATGGAATACATGTTGCAAAACGTCGTTTAATGTGGCCTGCCAATCCCGCTCAAAACTCTGAGATTTTTGTCCGATCCTCCATGTGCAAATTTTGCTCAGCTGTTTCTGCTCCATGCATTTTGCTGAATTGTTGACGAAATCCGGCGAGATAACAAAGAAATGGTCGGCATTTACAGTAGTAGCTCGGGAATAAGTACCGCCCACAAAATTTTATATAAAAGCAGAGTGGTACTGTACAGACGTTCGCATTCCTGCAAACGTTTGCCAGACACAAATGCTGGAACGAATAATTCTGCTGTGTGCTCTAGCTATTGCCGGCTGCTCAGCGATTATAACGAAGGTTCGCAATTGCCCACGAAAGCGTCGAATTTTTATTATCTATTGGCCTAAGTTAATTTAAGAATTAAACTACTCTTGCTTAACTGTTTAGCCTAAAATCCCCCGATATTCTACGTTATTTTTGTAAAATAAAAGAGCTGCAAAAATTTGGCTTATTTCAGAAGAACGTGTCAAGCGCGCTGAAAAATGGGACTGGCGCGGCATACTGGTATCAACCACCACCATATTTTGGCGCCCCAGCCCCGCCACCTTTTTATCCAGCACCATCAGCACCTCTTCCTCCACCATCGTTCTATCCGCCGCCACCAGTGTACGGACCACCACAGCCGCCACCAGTACCTCAGCCAGGTTATGGGCCAAATTTCGGACCCCCTTTTTACGGCCCACAGTCGCCTCTCTTTCCACCAGCATCAACTTTTGACACACCACCTTATGCACTCGACCGTAAGAATTTTCGATAAAAAATTACAATTTTAAATTTTCGCCAGCTTTTCACCAGCAAAATAATTTTGATCAGTTTGATCATTGCTAAGAGCGTACAAAATGTAGATACTTCTATCCGTCACGCAGCGAGAGCGAAGTTGCCAGGCTGAATTGAGCTTTTATTCGAAAAAAAAGGTTAGAAATAAAGGGGCGAAATGGAGAGTGACAGATTGCACTGAAGAAATAATGCACTAATTTTAAGCGGCGCACTTTCAGACTTAATTTACTTCACTAAAAAAGCAGGGAGAGACATAACACGTTGCCGAATGAAGATTGTGGACAGTACTTTTTTTCGTCTTCGACTGTACTGCTGGCTGCTATAAATTCAAGATTGAAAAATTTTTGCAGATTTTTACTGTTCAGCACAAGCATCATTTGCGCTGGTCAATGGTGTCGGCAGTCCGCCTTTCGGACCATTCGCACAACCAGTGCCGTTGCCGTTCCGTCAGTTCACTTCTTATTTCTTTAGAAACATTCAGTCAGCGCCACTAAGTCCTCTGATTTCAGAGGGATCAAAAGTTTTTGCTAAAGAAAATCAGGAACAAAGTTTTGCCCCCTTTTTCGGAATAGCTTGATCAAAAACATGAAATTCAGCCACACAGTAAGCCGAAATGTTATAGTTCTCTTACAATTCTTTTTCCGTTTCAGCAGCAACAGGCGCAAGTTTTGATGGGCCGGAAGTAGGTATACTGCCGCCAGGTGAGGGACCAATACCACCGCCACCACCACCAGGTATTCCGCTCGGAGCAACGCGACAATTTTGTCGATATACAGCAACACTGGATAGCTACGCCTGCAACTACTGCTGCAAGATCGCCGCACGGCACTACTCTACCTCAATTGTTTCTGCTTTTCCAATACTTCCTTTTTTATGGGCCCAAAATGAGTTCTGGATCAACTCATCACGTCTGACCAGACAAATCCTGCCATATTTCAGGATGAAGTGACCGGTTTACTATTCGTTTTCGATCCTAACATGCCACCAGTGCTACCACTGAGCCCTGTTACCGGCGCTTCATTGAATCGAAAAAAGAGAGTCAGTTCTGCTTTTTTGATGTATTCAAAATGCTGTGACTGAGTAAGGCATATTACTAGGCTGCAAAAAGTCCTTGAATAAGCCTTAACGTGGACCTATGTGGTGCATTTTTGACACGTCAAAAAATGAAGAGTGATTTTTCTAACCAGTACAAACTATGAAGCTGAAATTTTAAGAGGATATTCTAAGCCACTGTGAAGTTGAATTATTTCATACTGAACCTTGAAGCGCTCCTAGGTCTCGCGTGCGCACAAGCAAAAGTTTTCTTGGGACACTGTTGGCATTCAGTCAACTCTGTAAACAGAATGCAGTATTTTTCTGAAAATGTTTGCTGTTCATGAGAGCCACCAAATGCAAGAGGAGATTTTGTCTGGGCGTGGGCCCTGCGCGCAAGAGCTTCAAATGTATAAATTGTAGTACCGCAGTCATATTGCAGTAATACAGGCGATTTCTGTACGAAATGGAATCATACAGAAACGGATGATCAACAAGTAAGTCTAATGCGTAGCCACCTAGGTTTATTTTGTCTTAGCATATGCTGAACTTTATCCTCAAAGAATAAGATAACTGCAATAAAATCTGATTTCAGGAAACAACTGACAAACCGAAGCGAACCACTCCTCGCTACACCGGACCAACAATACCAACGGTTGCTCCGGATGGCGCACCGCCGGACCCAGTGCCTGGTCCAGTGCCTGGTCCAGTGCCACGAATGGGACCATTTGCGCCAGGACCAGTCGATGGTCCCCTAATTCCACCACAGCTGCCACCACTGCTACCTGTGCTACCAGTACCACGCCTTACACCACAGTGTTTCTGCTGTGCACCGAAAAAATTCTTTGGTTGGATTTAATTAATTAAATTTTCATTCATTGCAAGCATCTCATTTCAATTTATTTACGGTTCAAACTGGCGCTTTTCAATAATTTTTAGGATTCAAAACGAGGCCAAAAGAACAGTTTTAAATTCCGTCACATTTTCATCTCTGTTCATAAAAAGAATTGCTTTTTTTTCAGTGGATTTCCCAGAATTCAAGTTCGTAGCCTGATTTTTGATAACTGTTTCATTACAAAATATACAATTTACTTGACGATGTCAGTGAATGCGCGTAAAGAAATCAGTTTGCACTCCTCTTGTATCGGACTGACACGGCTGATGACATACACCAAAGTTCTATTCCTGTGTAACAAAATCCTTCAAATTCTGTACAACAAAGCGAAGTCTCATTACGACAACAAGCCAACTTGCCAATT